CGTGTTTCTTACCCTCTTTCCTTAAACTTCTGTAGCTAAGATGCAGGATAGTTTAGACAGACCTCTGAACTAACTTGGAGTAGCCATTGTCCTTATTCTTTAAAAATGCTGTTCTCAGGAGATTGTGTGGCATGCGTAAGTGTTCCGGTGACATGGTTTTGTGACTTTAATTTCCTTGAACTGTATTTTTCCCTGGAGGGGCCATGCTAATACTACTAGAGTCTGCAGAAATAGATGGCTAACCACTTCCAGGGTTTTTGAAGATTGTGTAAAGACTGTTAGCATCTTCAGGCATGTAATTCCTTTGGAAATCTGGCTCTTGGACCGCAGAGCAGATATTCTTTTATGGCTATTTTCTTAAATGCAACTGGAACATTTACAAGCAGCTCTTCTTAAAAACATGAAGAAGAAAAAAAACCCATGCCTTTAGCTTTGATTCCCTTGTACATCTGAATGAGCAGGGCAATCAAGAGATGAAGGGCTTTGGGCAATACCTTAGAAGATTATTATTCTATTATTTTATGTCATGTTTTCTTCATTGATTAATGATTCTAGTGGCTGGTGAACTGGATTCTGTTCTGTTTTGACAAAAAGGAAAGTTTTTATTCAATCTATGGTAATTTCAGGCTGCTTGGTGTTTCAGTGCAACACTAGGTTCAAGCCTGGTTGGGGTTCTCTAATACACCTCTTTGTTAAATCTTTATTACTCACCTGGTATAAAAAGAGCCCCGTTCTCCAAATGAGAACAACTGACTCAGCCCAAGGGCTCTAGGATTTCTGACAGTGCAGATGTATTTAATTATATTGGAGATGATAACATAAAATTGAAGAAATTAATTTGGCACTGGTGACTGTTACTGGTTTGATAGTACAGAAGACAAAATGTACTGGGGCTTAGTGTTTAAGGTTCAAGAAAGAACAGTACATGTTCTCTCTCCTCTCAAGACCTTCCAACGTGTCTCAGTCCTGCCTTAGGTGGAGTAACAAAAGTGATCATTTGTGCCAGACCATACTAGTGATAATGAACAGCCCCCCTTCACAATCCACGTGCCTCCCAAAACCACACACACCATCTCTGGCATACGGTCTGGGTTGCTGAGGTGGATTTCTAAGATTTCTGGAATTCAACTTTCTGTCCATTTAGCTATTTTAGACAACTGCCTGATGTTTCAATATTCAGTTACCTTCCTTTTGGGAAGAAATGATCTTTCTGCTATTTAATTACTTCAGGAAACCCTGTGGTTCACTAATGTGAGCAGAACTCCCCAGTATGCTCAGTGCAAGCATACATGCCTCTAACCACCTCATGGCATGCACACACGCAGGCATGCCAGTTCAGAGACTTCTGTGGTTGACATATCACTGCCGAGACAGGCATTACCGTGGGACCTGCAGGAGAGGAGATGGAAAAATGTTAGCTTCCTCTTAGA